ATAGAGAATTGTTTTTAAAATGAAAAATTACTTGAATGGAGATTAGACATATCATTTGGTTTCAAAAACTTGAGATTATGCAAGTTATTAGTTATTAGTTCTATACTCTAATAAATGTATATTTAGAGTAATCGACAAAAACCCATGAATTTTAGTTTGTTAAGGAGTTTTATTATCTGAACTAGATGGCTTGGTCATGGAGCTTTCAGTGTTCTTCCGAAGAACAATGAAAGCTAGACGACTAAACCGTCCAGCGCAGAAAGTAAAGCCCCACTATAATCATCTACTTTAGCTACAAGCTTTTACTGCCATTTGAGTTTTTGGTTGTTATCTCTTATGCATGAAGCGTATTTATAATCAGTGAGATTATATAGGTAAAACATGTGAAGTGTTTAAGTTATAGTCTCTTGAGGTAACTAGCTTAGCACCCACGTCGCAACTTTGGTTTGATTGACTAGATTCAGAACTAGATGTCAGACAGTGTGAAATAAGTTTACTACGTACTGGACAATCCATGCAATGATAGGAGAAAGAGCGAATATGTATAGTCATAAATACGAGTTATATTCACCTTAAAAATTTTCGACATTCGCTTTGATTTAGTTAATACCTGCTTACATGAATGTAGATGTTCCTTTTGATTTGATTTTGAAAAAACCTAGTGAATCTGTTATGTTTAAAGGACAATTGTAAATTATATTGAATAAGGAAGAAATCGAGCTAGCTTGTCTTGTTTGTTGTTACCTGTTTTTTAGAAACAATAAACCACTGTGTAACGTAGGTGGTCATGATAAAATCATGTCACTAGTTTCGCGATCAAATAAAACCTTTAGAAATTAAATCAAGTTTTAGGCCTAATTAACATGCATTTATGAACTAGTAATGTTTTATCAGGTACTTGAAAGTCTATTTCTAAGATCACAGTTGAGTGAGATTGCACTAAGGGCTTTGATTTTCTATTTATGCGACAGTTATAATGAGTAACATGTAATTCAAAGCTTATTTATCACTTATTTGAGGTATTTATTGAGGTGTTATTAAAATCCTACATACAGCATTGAATGATCACGCGTAATGTGTAGATCATGTATAAAGTAGTTGAATTTAAGTGGCTTTTCGAAATTGTGTTATAGACTGAGAAAAGTAATAACTACAGCAATTGTTATGCTTTGGTCAAAGTCATACTCCCTAAGAATCAATATTCTGCCTTTGTGATTTTGAATCATCAACCAAAAATGCCCTTAAAATATCACGGTAGATTCGTCATCGATTGGTTGGTTATGTAGGACTAACATATGAGGCATTTAGAACGAAACCAGTGATGGATTGAAAAATTTTATTCATAAACTGGAATGGGACCAGTTTACAAACGGTATTCTTTACTTTCTTACTTTACTTACAACCTAAGATTCTTTTACAGTAATCTATCAGAACTAGAGGCAATCAAACAAAGCAAATTCACAACAATCTCTGTTGAAATTTGTTAAAAGACTTACAGAGCATAAGTCAGAAGCAGCTAGTGCTAAAAACCACCGCCATTCACAAGTATCCACAAAATTACCTATGCGACAAATTTCTTGAAATCGTTCACCGGTAACGATAAATCCTTCCATTTTTCTTTCAATGACAGATAATGGTAAACTTTCATCCATGCAAGCTGATAAAATGACAAGATCATATCGTACACAATGTTGCTGAATCACCTAAATTTAATTACATCAAGTATTAGCAAATTCATTCTGGTTTCAGAAAAATTAGAAAATCCGAATCAGTACAATTAAGTCCTATTCTAACTATGTGTATTACAACCACTGCATACACTACTGTTTACTACTAAATAAATCAGAGTGATAAGTAATTAGATAAAATCGTGTGACTGGAGTGGTTTTTCTACTTTGAAAACATATTCGATAAACTTGAGACACCTAATCTAGTGAAATACAAAGAAATTTTGTTTTAAGCAAAGTCCGTACATATGGCGTTCGGAAATTCTAAAATTTGTTATCGTAACTGATAAAAGTTGACTTGGATGTCTTCACATAGCGTAGCTTATCCTTTTTATGAAAATCTTTGGGCCACCACCTACTGCTTAAGATATTCACGATAGCCTTCCTTATGTTTCATCTCGTTTGTAAGCAGCTAAGTGAGTTGGCTTACTAACTATTTTTTACACTTAATTTTATAACTCATCTCAGTTCACAACGCACAATACCTCATATCACTCACCAAAATTTAATACGAATTACGAGGATAAATTGCAAGACAGATATTTTTATGTTTCAGTAATAGGTCTTAAAATCAGCTTGTAAGCTAATATTGTATTCTAAAGTTAAAGTGGAGCGGCCTTGTCACGGCTTAATAAATATTACGCAACCAAGATCACCTCTAAAAAGTGGCCCTGCAAAGAAACTTATGACGAACTACCGGTGAAAGAGCGAACACTCATGTGCCAGTACAGTTTTTCTCGATATGACTAAGTCAGATGTAATCAACTTTGAACCAAGACAACAAGGCAAAATTACTAAGGTTCATACAAATGCAGTACAAGTATCGATCTTACTGGAAAATGTTAGCCACAAATTACAGAATAATAAAGGAATATATGAGTGTATAATAAAAAAGTAAGAGAACAATTGTAAAACTGAAAATTAGATAGAAGACTAGGGGCTCATTAATTTTCAATTTTCGAGATCGAGTCTGAAATACAAATCAGTGGATCATAAAGACATCTATTACATAGGAAGCTATATTTTTATTCGCGTACAACTATACAAAAATAGCTAGATATATATACGCATACAAACGTTAACTGCTTTGATCTACTCAGGACACAGATGATATAAATGTAACGAGACTTTGTTATCCCATGATACACACCAACATCGAATGTCCTTTTCACGAGCTAGTATACGCCAATTGATTTTTTTGCGCTCCATTCTATTTCTTTCGGAACGGTTCCAGGTGTTTGGTAGAGTTCAATGGATAAGGGTCTATTCAATCGACTGTCTTAATCTAGTCAGTTAGTATTTATGTTCACTTCTACCCTTTAATTACACTGTAAATCCACTTTACAAAAATATAGCCAGCTTCTTTACTTTCGCAAAAACAACTTACTAACATTAATACCTGACGATGAAATTTTAAAATATCCACAAAACCTAACAGAATTACTGTAGCTAAGTGGGTGAACACATCACAAAAGATATCGCTATCAGCTTAGAACAGTTTACAAACAAAATGGTCTCAAAAATGCATTTTAAAAATGGTTCAGTGTTAATAAGTTTATCTTGCAAACATTTATACATGACAGACTGAATACGCCAATTAATGTGATTTTTTGTGACAAACTTATTGACCGATTAGGAAAGATTAACTAAGTTCGAATTTGATAAAAGTGGTAATAACCTATTATTGAGCACTATATAGGCCGAAAAATAGTAGATCATTGCAAACTAGCACCTACCTGGTTATTTAAAATTCTTAGAAGTCCAGGCGTTAAACCCGTATCTGTCTTTTGTGTACTTATTGGAAGCTCAAGTCTCATTTTGACTGGTGGTACTTCATTCTGTGCAATTGCTTTAAAATATCTACAGAAATGTAAAGTCCAATTTGAAAATACTTACGCATGTGACCATTTGAGAACGTCTTTAGGTTGCGTTCTAATAGCTGCTTTGGTAAATTGCTTTAAAATGTCTGGCAGAGCGGGTGGTATCTGAATCTGCTCGTGACAATAATAAGGATCATTAGAAAGAGACATTAATTTTGATAATTTTATAAACTGAGAGGTTATAGTAACCTGTATTTAGATGAGTTAAAACACATTGCAATCTCTAATGTCCAATATCTTTCTGACGAGCTAGTATAAACCAACTTATTTCTTTGTACTCGATTCTTGTTCTCTCGGAAAGGTTCCAGGTGTTTGGTCGTGTCCAATAACCAGTCGACTGTCCAATTCTAGTCAGTTGGCCGTTGGTTTTGAGTTTGTCTGTCCCATGATTTGGATGAATTTGTTTGTTTCAGGGAGATCAGTTAGTTGCAGTATGGAGAATAGTAAGGATAAAAATCTAATACTTATAAGAGTAAGGATTTCAGAACGAAGGAAATGATACATAATTGGGTTGATTAATTGGCAGTGAAGATTCTACGAGAGGACTGAAGTGTAAGCAAGGAACGAGAAAAGAGTTATTAAGCGAGATGGATTAAGTCAGTGGTCTGAGGAGATGGAAATTATAATAGCTAGCAAGTTTCGAGACATGCATGAGGAACAGCTGGTCCAAGGATGATAAGATAATCTATATGTGAGTACGTGTTTATCGAGTCTCTTCTTGATCTGTCCACTGATGGATCTATGGTAACGTCGGATGAGAAAGCGTTCGAAAAATCAATGACCAATAATGACAAGAAACATGCACAAACCTGAATGATGGCTTTCTGACGCTCAATTTTTCCAGGATTAACACGAGGAACATGGAAGTGATGCGTCAGTAAGATGCTCACGATGGGATAAGTTGGCGTGCTTAATATATTCACGCCATTATCAAATCACCTCAGATTGTCCTATAACTCAGAATAATCCCAAATCTTTGTTCGTAAGTTTTATTCTTCAAACTTATCACCTATTTAGCTGCTAGTCTCTGCACTTGATCCAGGAGACTTATGTCTCTTTTAGGGGGAGGGGGTGCGACGTCAATGTGTTCCTCGTGTGGATGAGCGTGTCTTAGACAACGATAAGAGTAATTCATTTATGATAGCACCAGTTTGTCGTCGCAATAGGTGAAGAGTTACGTTTGCCTTGGATGTGTCCCCTTATACAGTTCAAACTGGTGTCCAGGCTTTGAGTAGTTATTAAACCGAGATCGCGCTCTGAGGAGACAACAGAAAGCGGACTAACATTGGGGATGTAAGTCGTTTGTGCGACGTCGGGCAAAATGTTCATAACGCGACATTTCGACTGGTTTTGTTTTACATCGTTTTTGATTGTCCATTCCTCAAAATATATGTATATGCTGAAGTTCACTTAGATCTTCTTTGCTTATCATGGACCCACAGATCTTTGCATCATCTTCGCAGGTCATTGTCGCTGAGCTTTGTATAAACTATCATTTATGAATATGAGGAAGAGGAGTGAACCTATGACGATCCCCTGTGCATATATTGAGGCCCGCCAACTAGCGTAAACTCTATTTAACTTGATGCGAAACTTCTTATTTCCAAGGCAGTTTCTGATCCAAAATAGTAGTGTGCAAGTGAAGCCCATTTCCTTAACCTTGGAAATTAGCGGTGTATGGGGTACAGTGTAGAAGGCTTTTGCGAAGTCAATAAATATAATACGAACCGATATTTTTTTGTCCCAGCAGGTTGTACCACTGGCTCATTCTACGAGAAGATTAGATACGCAAGACCTGCTTTTCCGACACACGTGTTGAGCGTCATGGAGGACTTTGTTCAATCCAAATCAATACTTAATTGTAGGTCATAAATCAGATATTAAAAACCTAATAAATGCTCACCCGTTATATAAAGTTGTGATGAAGAAATTCTAATGGTTTAATTTGTTACTAAACTACTTGAATATCACAGTTTTATACACTCCTAAGATGATGTGTATAGTCTTTTTTAGCTAAACAGTAGAGTGCACAAACGCAACTATTTTGGGAGATGATGATGACAGTCCATTTTTGCTTATAGACACCCGTACCTTAAGATGTTTTAGTCCCGTAATTTTTAATAGTCATCTGTTTTTGGATTTCATTTTAGTTCATTGAGAAAGTACATTTACAATCTTCAGGCACTTACTAGCATAGTATGTACTCGGTCCCTGTCAACCGAGTGTGGTGAATGAATATTCGAATGAGTGTAATTCCAAAGGACTATCGATTGAAAATTAGAAAGAACACATCATTAGTAGTTGAAGCAATCCTCTTCCCAACTACATTCAAGATACGATTTCGCAACCCGTGCACACTTTTCTATTCCGGATATCACTTGTGATCAGTTAATCTTAACTTAATTCCTTACAAAGTAACGTTAATACTGGTCTACAGACAGTCAACATCAGCTGCAGCATTACAACAGATTTTCTTTAAATCATGGAAAACTTTATTTCATGGTCTTTTAGTGTGGTGACTTAATATAAAAATAAACTGTCCGCCGAATATATAGGAAGGATTCGAGTACAGTTAAATTATAAAACACGAACATCTACGAGTATCTTCATTGCTGTACTCCTTCATTTGTGGGTTATATTCCTTTAATTTACTTTAATTTCAGTTTTGATAGCACAGTTACTTATTTACTTACTTAAGCCTGTTATCCTTAAAGGAGCATAGGCCGCCGATCAGTATTCTCCAACCAACTCTGTCCTGAGCTTCCCTTTACAGTTCTGTCCAACTTTTGTTCATTCTTCTCATATCTTTCCCTATTTCTCGGCATAACGTGTTCCTTGACCTTCCTCTTTTCCTTTGGCCTTGAGGATTCCATGTGAAGGCTTGTCTTGTGGCTCAGTTAGACGCTTTACTCAATGTGTGTCCTATCCACTTCCACCACTTCTTTTTGATTTTCTCCTCCACTGGAATCTGGTTTGTTCTTTCCCACAGTTCGTTGTTGCTGATGGTGTCTGGCCAACGAATACGAAGTATTTTGCGTAGACAACTGTTAATAAACACTTGTATCTTCTGGATGATGGCTTTGGTAGTTCTCCATGTTTCCGCTCCATACAGTAGAACTGTCTTGACATTTGTATTGAAAATCCTGATTTTGGTTTTGTTTGAAAGTTCTTTGGAGTTCCAGATATTTTTCAACTGTAGAAATGCAGTCCTCGCTTTGTCAATCAGCTCCTTCACATCTGCATCGGATCCACCTTGGTTGTGGATGATGCTGCCCAGATATGTAAAGGTGTTAACGTCTTCCGAAGAATCTCCATCAAGAGTGACTTGGTTGGTGCATGTTGTGTTGCATCGGAGAATTTTCGCTCTTTCCTTAATGTATGTTGAGACCTACTGCTGCAGAGCCTGCTGCTACACTGGTCGTCTTCTCTCGCATTTACTGATGCTTGTGTGGTAGAAAAGCCATGTCATCTGCGAAGTCCAGATCCTCCAGCTGCATCCTAACTGTCCAGTTGATACCGTGCTTCCCTCCAGATGTCGACGTTTTCATAATCCAGTCGATGACCAGGAGGAAGAGAAAGTGTAAGAGTAAGCGACCTCTCCTGACACCGGACCTCACCTCAAACGAGTCTGTCATCTGTCCTTCGTGTAAGATTTCGCAGTTGAATCCATCATAAGAATTCCGTATGTTGTCGACTATTTTCTCAGGCACACCGTAGTGTAGAAAAAAGCCTCCACAGTGTTTTCCTATCCACGCACGTTATCGAATGCTTTCTCGTAGTCGATGAAGTTGATGTAGAGTGGTGAGTTCCATTCAATCGACTGTTCCACAATGATCCGTAATGTTGCCATTTGGTCAGTACACGATCGACCCTCACGAATTCCGGCCTGTTGATCTCAAAGCTGGGCGTCTACGAATTTTTTCATTCTGTTTAACAATACTCTGTTGAAGACTTTGCCTGGTATTGAAAGAAGAGTGATACCTCTGTGGTTCTCACACTTGCTGAGATCTCCTTTCTTTAGTATTTTGATCAGGTATCCTTCTTTCCTATCTGATGGTACTTGTCCCTCAGTCAAAACCTTGTCGAAGAGAATGTAGAGTATTTGAGCAGTTGCTTCCACATCTGCTTTCATTGCCTCTGCTGGAATGTTGTCTGGTCTTGTTGCTTTGCCGCTGTTGATTTGTCTGATGGCCATGCTGATCTCTTCAACTGTAGGTGCGTCAACATCGATTGGGAGGTCTGTAGATGCTGCTTCAATGTTGGTTGTGTTCAGTGGAGCTGGTCGATTCAAGAGTTCCTTAAAGTGATCTGCCTACCTACTTCGCTGTTCTTCAGTGTTGCTGATTACATTGCCTTCCTTGCTTCTCCGCTGTCGTTGCTAGATATTCCACATATTTTCCTTTGTCAGCTCTGATGCTCTTCTTCACTTCCCTGTTTGCTTCTGTGTATGCAGCTTGTGCCTTGACCTTCTCTGCTCTTGTTCGGCTGACACTGACCGCTGCTCTCTTGTTCCTTCTTTCTTGAATTTTTTCAACAGTACCAGCAATGATCCATTCCTTGTGATGCTGCTTCTTGCGACCAAGGACCTCCTGACATGTTGAAGTGATTGCCTCCTTAATCCCTTTCCAATTGTTCTCCAATGTTGCTTCCTCTCCGTTGAGTATATCGTGCAGGGCCTGGAACCCATTGGTGAGGGCTATCTTGAATTCGTTGAGTTTTACGGTATCCCGAAGAAAGGCTGTATTAAACTTCTCTGATGTCGTCTGCCCCTTTGTTTTTTTCTTCGTTAGTTTCAGTTTCGTTTTGGCGATCAGCAATTGGTGATCTGGGGCTATGACAGATCCTTTTTATTGATACAGATATGGTCGATTTGGTTTTGAGTAGTGTGATTGGGTGAAATCCATGTGGCTTTGTGAATGCGTTTGTGCGGGAATATTGTGCCACCGATGACCTGTTTGTTGAAGGCACATAGGTTTGCAAACCTCTCACCGTTTTCGTTCCTTTCTCCCAGTCCATGTCGTCCCATGATGTCTTCATATCCAGTGTTGTCCATGGCAACCTGGGCATTCAGGTCTCCCATAAGAATCGTCAAATCCTTTGGTGAGCATCTGTCGACGATTGACTGCAGCCTTTCGTAGAATTGATCTTTAACATCATCATTGTAGTCATTGGTAGGTGCATAACATTGGATGACGTTCATTGTTATGTCCTGTTTCCTTGTTTTGAAGGATGCTTTATTGGTCCTCGCTCCATGAGATTCCCATCCTATCAGTGCTTTTTGGGCATGTTTGGACGGCATCAGTGCAACTCCTTGTGTACGTGAAGCATTTTCCTCTTCATGACCCGAGTATAACAGCAGTTCCTCGGGAGCTAGTCTCAATAGTCCTACCTGCGTCCAATGTGTTTCACTGATGCCGAGCACCTCGAGGTTGTATCTTTTCATTTCTGCCGCAACTTGAAATAGTCTTCCAGTCTCCCACAGTGTACGAACGTTCCATGTACCAAAAAAATGGTTGCTCTGGTTGTGAGAAGAGGCATTGGCCCCGTGACTTCTGAGGAAACTCGGCTTTCATCACGCGACGTCATAATTCTTATTCCAACTCCCAGGGCAGAGTTAAAATGGTTTGAATTAGTTTTTCTGGTTAGCGTCCTTTCGGCGACGGGATGGGTCGCCAACCCGATGCCCAACCCTCCTCCTTTATCCGGGAATGGGACCGGCAATAGCCTCGAAGATTTTACAGGCGGAGATTTGATAGAACAGTGAGAAGACGTAATTGATCTGAAATATTTTGACTTGATCTTGACTTTGTACAGATTAAAACAGCAGCAGACCTGGGTAACAGTAACGACACACAGAGGTAGTTATTAGCTTTTTGTTATATCTACATCGAAATATAAATTTTTTTCGAACTTACTATTTGTATGACCCTATTTGGTAATTATCTTATTTGCAAACACATCTTGTGAATTATCGATCACAACCATAAAAAATGGCATGTAACTGCTATGTCAGAAATATATATATATCTGTCAGAAAAACTCATCGATCGTCCACGCCGAAAGCACCCTGTTGGCACAGCCAGAGTAGGGTTTCAAGGCGAGCTCTAACAGCAATGTAATCAGACTTGCAAAAAGTGTTGTAAAAGGTATGGTAATCTGGTAATACAGTCATGATGAGTCAGAATGATGTAGAGACAGGATCACACTGTCCAAGGTTCCTCAAGACTAATGTGTTAGTAAATGACACAACTTGGTGGACGATAATGCAGTTTAGTTTGGGAGGATATCCGTTTGGTATCCAGCGGGAATCTCTTTAAATAGCTAATGAGAGAGTGTGAGTACTGAGGCTTCAGGTGAAATATTCATCTGTAGCTAGTCGCAGTACTCTTCTAGCTGGAAAATCTACAACTTACTGATTACGAATACTAGAAATTTTTCACGAATTACTGCCGGACCTTTAATGAGCTGAATTCGGAACGAGTTTTACCCAATATTCAGTGGGTACTGAACAATATCAACGATTTAATACGCAAATTGCAAATTTGACGCGGCATTATACCAGATAAATCTAATAAGCCTAGTGAGAATTAAGTAAAATGCTTGTAAATATTCGACAGTCGATTCCATCCAGAGATAAACTTTCCTAAAGCAGTCCGGACAGTTACTAAACAAAGAAATCTGAAACCGAAATAGTGAGAAATCACAATTTCCTCTAAAAGAAACAAATTAAAACTTCTATCTTAACTTTATTAGACTTTCAGACAATAAAAGGAACTCCATGTTCCAAACGCAAAAATTTGTTGGGTAAGGTGTTAACAAATTGCAACTGCGCCACACGAGTTTTAATGACACTTGTTTTTGGCGCTAGTTTAGACTTTTCTAGTGTAGTTTCTGTTTGTCGTAATTTCATGTTTGTGTTATTCCAGGTCGTTTTCAGTTGCTTTCTCTATCACATGTAAGTGCGTTACATGGGCTTACGAAGCCGTCGGATGACCTCATTTTCTTTTCTCTTCTAGATAACCCGCAACACACAAGGTACCTTCTGGCTGGACGCAAAATTACCCAACACTGAATCCAAACAATTATTGTCTGTTAGATTGTCCTAATCGGTTGTTACACTTCTTTAAGGTGAGTGTTGTGCACTTGTTGAGGCAAACGATCTTTTACGAGTCATCAGTTCACATGTTCTCTTTTTCTCTTTTCCAGTTTCCTTCACGTGCTCTGTTCTTCAGTCCTCTTGTACCGGAATCACCATCAGGCTAATTCGAAACCAATGCGCCGTTTTTTAATATTAATCGGCTTAGTCTAAGAAACTTACAGGATATTTCGTGTATATTTCCGTCGCACACTTCACGTAAGTCAGGGCTATTTTATTCGCTCTTTAGACTTTTGTCTGATTCTTTAATGGAAATGATCGTAATCGTTTGTTATCTTATCTCCTGACCTATCTGCTCTGGGATTATTTTGAGTAAAAATTTAGGACACTCAGACCTGCATCAGTAGGGTAAATTTTACTATATTTTGCTTCAGACATCTTAGTAGTGACCTAGTCATGAGAATCGTATGTATTTAAACTTGGATTCAAGTGAAATTTAAATGTTTCGTATGGATGTTTTAATAATCATCTATATCCTTAGTCTACCGTTGATATAAATAATCATGAGTTGTCCTGAATACGGAAACAAGTTAAGAAATTTGATGTTATTGTCGCCATGAAAATCTTCATGCATAGGCATGTGATTGGATAAAGTAGAGTACAGAGGAATCCCAGGAAAAGCACTGCCTTATCCTTTATTTCGCATGTTATGTTGTAATGTTTCTCTCGTCTTGAGTTTGTCGTTAAGAAATTTGCAGTAAATTCAGGGTCTGCTAGTAATCTGAATTGGTGACTTATAACTAGATCAAACACACATGATATGTATGCTTATAATGTAAACATTTGGAAACCCACATCCATTCCGAACTTCTTGCAATAGGACAAAACTAATCAATTTTGGTGAGTCTTGAGACCATCCCATTAAGGATTTGGCGGCAATACAGCACAGGATCCTAATATTGACTCAGATCTGCAATATTTCCCAAAGTAAATGCCTAATTTGCGCGAAATCCCCACCCACTTGGTTAAATGAGGTTTTCTTAGATGAAGTCGAGGAATATCAACCGCCTCAGATTTTCATTCATAATTACTAGAGAATTTGTGGCCAATTAACGCTGACAATCGGCTGGCTATCTGACCAACAATCTCGTTTTCTAACAACTTCCGTCTTTGTAGAAACTTTATTGTTGTTTGGTTGCTCCAGTGAAAATTATTCACTTTTGCTTAGTACTACCTTCCAAACTATAACTAACGAGTTAATAAACGTACTACAAGAAGTTTTTTTTCTAAATACTTTTCACGTCTTACATTTTAATTATGTACGTTCGTAATCAGAAGACTAACGTATTATCAACTGGAATATTTAGGAAGATAGACAAATAATTTGTACAATAAGGAAATCGTTCTGTACATATACAGGTTTAAGTTCGAAGAGTTATCTGAAGGATTATCATTTTGTCCCGGTTACGTCAATTGTATGCTGAAACAAAGTAAAAAAAAAAATGAATGTAGGAGTTAATACCTATGAGAAGTCAATATATATAATCTTGAAAAATATAGTATATAGTTAGAGAAAACTGACATAAGCTTTAGTAACTTACCTACATGAATTCGGAGTCATCCAGTACATGAGAAGCCTACTGAAAATTATCAATGAAGTTTTTTATATTTTTTATATTAACCTATCAACTCAAGTGTAACCAATATGTACATAAACCATTATTTTAAATGATTTGTGCTTAGATTTTTTTGTTTTACTCCTATGTACTTCACATTTTACATCATGTAAGTAAACTTGGCGTACGGAATACATTTTCTTATGTCGTTCTCATCGACTGACTTCTTAATTAGGGACATAAAATATCTAATCAATGTTTGTTATTAATATGGCTTACTGCAAATCGTTCAATAATTAATTATACTGATTGGTTTTTGTGCCTTTCAGTATATAATGGATAACTAGTTACCGTGACAAAACGTAAGCTAATCCCGACCGTAGCTGCTACCTTGGCGTGGTAGTCAGGCTTGCTTATCGTGATAACCAAACCGCAATATATTGGCTAGAACATATGTTCCTTTAGTTCGTATCATTCCAGACAAGTCGACTGGACAGCAGTAAGACTGAAAGTAGCAACTTAAGGTCTGAGGCTGAAGTCGAACTTCTGACTGTAGAGAGGTGTGACAACACTAAGGCATTCCCCTCAGACAACCAGCATCTGCAGCAGTGCTACCTTCCCACAACGGAAAGAAGAAGTTAGAAAATTTCGACCCTAAAAATTTCACACCACTGATTTCCGTCTCCGGCAGTATTCAATCATAGATGTCTTCGAAGCATTGCTCGTATGTCGTGGGACAACTGCGTAAGCAATGCTGTTGTTAGGAAATGAGTACTAGGTAAGGATAGCAGATCAATAGATGAAGCAGTGAAACTTCATCAGTTGAGGTGGTTGGGACATGTGTTACGAATACCTAACCACCAACTACCTCGGCGAGCGATGTTGCCTGGTGTAGGGGTAGACTAGAAAAAAGCTAGGGGCGGCCAAAACAAAACATGGCACAAATCCATGAAGTCACTGACAAGTGGACTGAGTCATGTTGATAGATGTAGGCTACCTGGTTGGGGTCAGCGAGACGATAGTAACCGATGGTTAGAGACCTTGAACGGCATGGCTCAAAATCGTTTGTAATGGCGCAAGTGCATCCATTCGTTGTGTTCTCCCAAATTTTAATCTTCTGGATTCGTCTGCACTTCTACCTTTGTCTTTCTAACCTTATCTCACTGAATTATACTTCTTGAATAATATCTTCAAACCCTAGTCTTCTTCATCACCATTAATACCTCTACTATCTCTATCACTATGGGATTCGATTTGACAGTTGCGTCTCTGTGATGATGTGGTATGGCAACCTGAACTTATGTACATACGTACGAAGTTCTGCGTTGGAACTGACTGACTGACTCCGGCAGTAAGGCCTTTTAAAGAGCGCAGCTAATACTTTAAAAACTCATAAAAAGGCCGCGCGTGACCGGCCTCAAGCAGTTTTCCCTTGAGCTCTGCAGTTACGCTCCCAGGTCTCTAAGACCAACGCTAATCTACCTTTTTTTCAGGTTCTTAGAGAAATACCCACGGTGTTGACAGCTGGAAAGTGACATCCGCATTTATACCCGTAACGACAAACGAGACTAGTCCAGTCACAATGAAATCCTTGTCACACCTCTTAATTACTCTCTCATCTCCACGAACAAATCTTTCATTCCCTTGCCACCATGCACCGCTGATGCAAACTACTTGAGTTTTTAGAACGTAATTTTTGTTCTCGTCTGGCTTTTGCCAACTTGCGTCACCCATGGTGTAGGCGAGATATCCGTCTGCTAACCGAAGGACGAGTGTAATGTATAGCAGTTCGCTCCGTCCTTACTCTATGGCTGCGAGACATGGCTAGTCAGAGCAGAAAGTATTCGTATGTTGCTGGTTTTTGACCATAAGTGTCTCCAAAGCATTGCTCGCATATCCTAGGACAACCGAGTAAGCACTGCTGTTGTTAAGAAAAGGGTATTAGGTAAAGATGGCTGATCAGTATATCAAATAGTGAATGTTCATCAGTTGGAGTAGTCGGGACATGTTTTACAGATGCCCAACCACCAACTACCTCGGCGAGCGATGTTGCCTGGCACATGAAGTCACTAACAAGTGGGCTGAGCCATATAGGTAGGTTTAGACTAACTGGTTGGGGCCCGCGAGATGATAGTAACCGATATTTAGAGACTTTGAATGATATGACTCGAAATCGTTTGTAATAGAGCAGATGTATCCATTTTTTGTCTTCTCTCTATTTAATCGGTCTGATAATTCTTTCGTGGTCGACATAATTTAGGTATTCACTCGCGTTCTAACCGTTATACAGCAAATACGAAGATAAGTGTTGATAAAACTTGTTCATGATAATCTGTAATTTGGCTTACTCTAACTTCGATAAGTTAGTTGTGTATGCTAATAACTTATTAAATTAATAACTACCTGACTTTGGTTGTCCATCAAAAAAATTAAACGTGGATACTAGAGTGGAAAAAACCAGCATCTATTCTAAAACATCTTACCGCTCTAAGGTGTGCGGATAGTCAGTTTCGTTTTGCTTCGGTCCTTTGACAGTTTTGTTTATTGCATATCATTACAAAATGTAACTGTTCGATCGCTTTTATTGACATGTTTGTGTATCATCCAGGGCCACATTCTTTGTAGGATAAACAGATTTTCAAATGCTCAGTTTAAGTGGACGCTTACCCAAGAGCCATCCGGAAGAATAATGTCCTATTCACTCACAAATTCGAGTTTCAAAAGCTCCATCACGTTCCGGGTCAATAGAATTCGTTAGTTGTTTACATATTGGATCCTTCTTGAAAGCACCGCGTATATCAGTGTGAAATGAAATAAGCTGTCAATCTCTAAAGGTGGAAATCAGTATGTAGATCTATTAGGCTTAAAACTATTTCTGGTGGTTATCTACTTGAAGTGTGTTCGTGAAAGTGTAGGCTTAGGAATATCTGCTTCGAGAAAATATAAATTAGTGGGATGAAAAAGATAATTTTAAAACTCAGAATGAAAGAGAAGACAGTCTGAGTAAATTTTTACAATTTCTCACAGTACTTGCTTTTAGAGAGCCTAGTGGTGTCATTTATTCTTGTCAATGCAATTCAAAGAATATCTATCATGAGGACCTTTACCTGCTAACTGAGTTGAATTAAAACCTTTTTATTTCTACAATATATATATATATATATATATATATATATATATATATGTAGATATTGCAAACTATTTTTTGTTTCAATAAATACAGGTTACAATCTGAAGGCTAGTTATCAAATTTAGATGTCAGAAAAACGGTCCTCACGCGTACGGAAAGTTCCCAATTATGCTCTGTTAGTTGACAGTGACAATGAATTCTTTGAGGATGACGAACCCATTAAACTCAAGAAGAATAATGATAAAGAGGCCAAGTCAATTAGTAAACCTGCTAAGATTAAGAAAATAGCTGGAGATGCACCTATGAAACAGTGTGAAACAATCCAAATACAAAAGGAAAAATCACCTGAAAGAATCAATAATGCAGCAAAACAGACTACATGTCCTTCTGTTCCCCGTTGTGAGACATCTGCCTCTATAACAGTTTCTAGCCCCAAAACTATGTCAAAATCCGTTCCTTCTACTCCTGTTCATTCAAATCCACTAGTCAGTAATGTGACTACACCACCACCTTCAAGTAAAGCCTCTTTTCCTATCACTCCGTCTACTGGCCTTCGTCTTGGTCTATCACGTACAAAACGGTTACGATCTTTACATGCAAATGTGCGTATAGCGTGATTTATGACATTCCTTGAAGTTTGTATCGATAACTACTACTTGATCATTCTAACAATCAAGTATTTAATTATTTCTTTTCCCGTCAACACCAGTTTTTTTCCTTCATTTATTTATATCTCTGTGGCTTTTAATTAGTAATTTGACATCTATCTCATTATAAATCTTAAATTATTTTTTTAATATTTAAAAATGATTATTAGATTGTAAAAGATTAATAAATCACGCTTATATTCTAACTAGTTTTTATGTCACCAACCAAGTATTATATCGTCTTAGGTATCAATAGAAGTAACAAACTAGTTCAATATGAATAGAAGATATATGTTTGGTTACATCAACATCGTATTAGGTCTTTTAGGTTAAGCTTTCACGAACTAAAATTCGATACAGGAGGTGTTAGCTTGTTGACATAACAATTGTGCACAGTTGTAGAAGAAAGATTAATGCATTAAATGTAAGAAATTGTCGTGGAAAAGTGAGTGGGAATTAGTTTTAATAGCTATTCAGTCAGTACAGATAAACTTGAGACGGAGGATTTTCAGATATAAATTAAAAGGTGTTTAGAGATAGTTAAGTGAATGAATCTAACACCAATAGATGCAACGCAGTGATACGGATGGATGATCGCGTGGTCGGAATACACAACTAACTAATCTTAAAAGATAGATGCCTAATAGGATGAATTTTTATCCAATAAACTAACATGTTTTCGCAATTTTATCAAATACCAGTAAATGTGATTAAAATTTAACTGAAACACCTATAGGCTAACAAAATAAAGATCCAGTTATCAAGCTTGTTCGACACCATCCGCATATTTATATTGTTTCAGTAAGATACCTGTTGTTTGCTACTTATTAAATTTTACCGAAATGACTAACCGTTAGTTACTAAGTGGTTTACTATGTTTGCTCACCTTAATACTCATGGGCGTCTATTGTGATTTTTTCACTGAGTAAAATAAACAGTCATTGGTTTTTATTGCAAATATAGATATTGGAGTTAGTGTCCTAGTTTGTATCAAAAAACTACACCTTGGTAAGTTCCTCCTCGACACCTAGTGGAAGGAATGTTAAGACTGGGAAACCTGAGTGGATCCCATCACGTTATTTGTGACACTGAATATTTTGATGTGATAGTAATTTATTTGTGGCTCCTGGTTGTTGATGTTAGAGACTGCGATTGACCAGACTCTTTCCAAATTTTTTTCTGTTTAGATGTCCTCATATAATTTTAATATCTGTTTCCTTATCATTAATGAATCCTATTATTATTATTATCAGTTCTTCAATTACATATTCCATCTTTTATTATTAATATTGAACTTCTAACTAAACATTTTATCAGCTGTACTATTATCAAGCTTTAAACTACATATTCCATCCAGTTCACTTATTAATCAATATCTTTCAATATTTATCATCTATCCACTTAATTTTCAAGTTACTTTATCGAGATCACAAACTAATTTAAGTTGAATAACTGTTGAAAACTAAGAAGCACTCGATAGCCATTTCTTCCTAGTATGGAACTCTTCAACACTGCTTATCCGTGACCATACATTTAGAAATTAGATCCAGGACCTTCTGCATCTCACGTTAACCACCTTTAAACTAATTATTTCATAAAGTATTCACAGTTATTTCCGTAAACATTTGAAATTAAACTATTATCTAACACATCACAACAAACATGTGTATGTTGACGCTAAAATATGAAAAATCAGTTCCAAATGAGTATTTTTCCTCTATATTCGTTCTTTTTATTCACTTAATTCCTTGGTGATCAAACTCTTCTGATAATGACTTCAATGTCAGAATACTTACCAGAAAACGACTCATGTGTAAAACTTAGTAATTTTGTAGTGGAACGCTTCTACGAAGAAAATACGATTTGTGAAAAATAAACATTATTGTACTCGTTTTGTTTAACTGTACCAAGAAACACTTCTTGGGCGCAACGTTCTCTTCGCGTTGCTGCCATTTCTCTTAACTTGCTGCTCCCCATGTAATGCCAAAGTTCTCCTTCAATAAACAACTGGAATATGGATTTATTTTGTTCTGCTTTTCCTGAAGCGACCGTATGTTACATTTAGTGGTGAGCATAGTCAATCTGGTATCTGGATTCGCTCGCAACAATTTCATGTTCGATATATGAACATGAGCAAATAATTGACTTCGCACAATTAGTCAGTGAATCCTATTTACATTCAATAATTTTGATGATTTCACTGGGGAAATTCGGATCAGATTGAAAATTGAAATTCGGAGTTATTAATAATTTTAGTAGCTGTAACTTTTATAAACAATTTTTCTAATATCTTCATTACGCTCAACACACAACTATTATCCGTTCATTTTTCAATGAAAGTTTGCATGAAAATAGCAAACTTTTTTAAATGGTCTCGCAAATAATTTATTTCACACCAATAGAGTATGGAAGAAATAAAAGCGCGAACGGGGTTCGTACACTTTGAATTGGGTCGAAGTGTTTGTGATATTGAATATGAAATATGTTTTATCGCCAGTTATCCACTAAATAAGTGAATAGATGTCTATAACATGTGTTACGTAATAGTATGATTAGTGGCCGGTGAGCATATGTATATGTATAGCTTTAAACTATAAGAGAATATTTCCGCTACATTTAAATAAGAAGCGGCATGATACTAGGTATATGAGTGTTATCCATGAATACACCTAAAGATCTATTACAGCAACCACCAGAACAGCAATGCTAGGTAAAACTAAGATCAAAAATTTATTAAAAAATCCAAGAAAAAATATAGTTGGCCAATTTCGAAAGCTGTATATATTTTAAGGAAGTAGTTGCAAGCAAACCAAAGAGGATGAGAATTTTATGTCTAAATTCAGAGAGCAATAGAAGTGAGGGAAATAAGAAAATGCAATATCAAGAAATGTATGTATGAGGGTGTAGTGAAGGAGAACACAGATGAGGGCAACCAAATTGTATCTATCTCAAATTACAGAGTTAATTAGTAAAATAGGAAAACCATATCGTAAATCGTTAATTTGCAAAATATCAATCCATCATATCGAACTGGACTGTTCCTGTTGCAAACGTCAATCAATTGTCTGACATTTCGCTGTTCATGCGCTTCATACAAATCCCATTGCGTTACCGCTCTTCCTTTCTTGATCTTTCCCCATCTTCTGCTGCCAGACATTACGTTTTTACTCGCGTCATATATTAATTATAAGTAGCGCGCACTACAAGGTACTTCCATACATGTTGAATTACGTAGAGAAAGGTTTTATTTAGATTCCCTACCAAGACCTAAACATCGGTGATTGAACTTACTGCACAGGCGAAAAACCTGCAGAGGCCAGTTCCCACAGTACTGGCCAATTCGGTTTGAACAGCTTGTTTGAGAATCCGACAAAGGCTGTTACTGAAGAGGTGCACCAGATGCTGAGACGAACCACCAAGTGCCTCTATAGCAACATAATAGGACTTGGGGTTAGGCTTTTAGAAATCAAGAATATATGCTCTCAGATGGATCTGAACATCATAATCCTAATAGAAACAAGAATATCCCCTGACACTGCGGAGATGACATGGCATGACACTCTTGTGAAGCGATAGGGTACACCAAACATGAGGCGTAGTGGTTATAAATATAAACAGCCACCTAAAAGTCAGGAGGCTATACGACACCCAACTAACTGAGGTGACAGAATCATGTTGGTGTTGTTTCCACACAAATGGAACGAAATACTTTATTCGAGGGATTTACTGACTTTCCCCAGGTCCTAAGGCCCAGGAAGACAACCTGACTGAGACAATACGGCAACTGCCACTCCTTGAGTTTGATCAAATACTCTTAACTGGAGATTCCAAAACCCCATCTCTAAATCTCAGCAATCAAGGTACAACTCCCATTGGTTGGTTTCAACGGTGAATGGCGCAGCCATTAGAAGCTCTAGGCTTACTGAGCACGTATGCTATGCCACTAGATGGACCAAGAAAGGGAAGTAATCAAACCCGGATTAATCGTTAACAAATGATCAGCTCCTGTTCGAGGATGTTCACGTCCATACACCAGTAGGAAGTAGTTACCATGGAACAGTCTTATTTAACAGGGTCATATACAAAACACTAGCTCAGGAAGAAAACGAGCCCTATCTCTGCTACAGTAGGGCAAATTATACGCTTATAAGAGAGATCCTCCTGCATGCCCCATAGCGACGGGAGTGGTGATGGCTGACAGTAGATTATCATTGGTAAACAGTGAGAGCCATCATCCAGAATGCTGTCCTTAACAACGTACTTCAGTCACACCACACACCCAAAAATGGAAGAAAATGGCTACAGGCGAAGAGGAGAGCCTGTCACAAGTGGAAGGTTTTCCTGAAGGATTCTTTTCGTAGTTCTTACTTGGCATAGGGAAAGAGATGCAATGCCTATGTTCGAAGTGATAGGAGATGCTTTCAAATTAAGCTAGCTGTTCAAATACAGTCAAACAACAAGCATCTGCTGAGGTTCATTACAAGAAGAAAACCTACAAATCTGGCTACGTGTACTCTCAAATGTCCGAATGAGGAAGACGTCACCAACCTAGAAATGGCCGATATCTTCAACACAAACTTCGCCGATTAGCAAAAACAGGCATCCACATATTCCGAGTACCACAAAAACCCAGTGCTAGTTGACGGCCTAGAAACTATCTTGAGAACAAAAAGTTTCGTAACAATGTGAATAGAGCGCACACGAGTTGGCGAGTCTCAGCATCGGAAGTTTCACATGGGACTATCTTAGGTCCTCTTCTCTTCCAGATATTTATTAACGACCTCTTAGGAGCAGTTAACTCGCCGGCATTGATCTACGCAGACGATGCAAAGATCTGGAGGTCCAGTAGAAGTGAAGAGGATTCGACTGAACTTCAAAATGACCTTACATCAATTGAGGAACAGGCAGTGAAAAACGGTTTATTACTCAAACAACCGAAGTGTCACATCATGTACATTCTGCACCATAAGACGCAAACGATTTACAAACTCAATGGAAGTCCGCTCCCTAATATTTCCTCGGAAAGCGATTTCAAATTTAAGAACCACAGAAAGCCTTCACACGATTCCGAACTATGTAGGGGACACAAGACAAATGCGACTCTTCACTTTATGCGAAGACAACTTTGTGCTATCGCCCCGAAATTATTTTTGACATTGTTTAAGACGTACGCGCCCGCACCTGGAGGTTTACAATTTCATCGCACCCCCTCTGCTTAACAGAGAGATAAATCTCTTGGATCGAGTGCAGAGACGAGCAACCAAAGGGGTGATAGGGTTGAAAAATAAACCCTACGAGGACAGACCATAGTACTTGGGATTATTTTCACTGAGCTAAAGGAGAATCAGAGATGATCTGATTATGGCGTGCAACATATGAAACACGCCAAACCATCCCAATGTGAGCATTTTACCGATGCATCACCACCATTCCCCGCGAGGCAATCCTCGAAATATTGCACATCAAAGAGCGAATACTCAAATTCGTGCACACTTTTTCTCATTGTGAGTCGTCGCAACTTAGAATGCTCTCCCAGCCGAGGTAACCACAGCCCCCTCAGCAGACAGCTTTAAGTAGAGACTTTATAATCACGTTCTCACTTTCGGACTATCATTTCCCTCTTGGACTAGCTGTTCATGATGCATATCTTGAGATCTGCTAATTGTTGTCATTGCCATCTCCTCATATCACTCAATTAATCTACTTCGCCTATTATCTGAGCTTCCCAGAAAACCTCATTCGCCGAATTAAAAAATCTTAAGAAGAAGACTAATGAAGTAATGGTGAAACTTCAACTAACAAATTTTTTTCATAATATTGAATGTATTTTTTAAGTTTATTTAAGATCTAAAAACCGAACTAATAAATTAAAGCCAAATTTGTTCAAATCGGCTTGAATGGTTAAACGATTAATTTTTGCATTATTTCATTTCTTACACATTTTCTGATTTGTTAAAATAATATTTGTTGTACTCAGTTGAGCGCGTTATTCGGTAATTTAGTTCGTTTTCACTTCGTTCACCAGTGGTTAGTTTGTTTTGTGGTTTTGGATATGTGGGCTACAGCCTCCAAACAAACTGCAAAAGGTGAAATTATTCAAGACAAAAAACCTCCAAAAAAGAGTAAGAGCCGCATGCATTAATTTTGTTATATGTATAAATATATTTGCATATATATTTAAATGATGGATGGATACCGATATATTCTTTATACGCATCTTAACTAGCCTAGAAGTTGTAATTTACCTTTTCGTCAAGATGTTAGGTACATAAGATTTCATTGTTAGAACGTTTTATTATTTTCGTGAGACATAACGTACATAATCTGATGTTGTTCTGTGGCTTTTATCTGCAAGAATTCCGTAGATATACAATAGAAGTAATGTGTTGGTTATCTTAATGACTTCGAAACCAAGTTTAAGTGATCTAACAGAAAACATCTGTATCAAGCCGTAGTATGCGATTTCAAATATTTGTTTTTGCTTTGTTTCCTCCAGGTTTTCTTAGGCATTTTTCGTTGATATTTTGATTATTTGTGTTGTTGCACTCGGCTGAATTAGTAACTGATCTAAATCTTTGGTTTCTAATGAAAAGCTTTTGAGCAAGATAAAAAAAAGTATCATTATCCATAAAAAGTCAGTTGTAAACAGAAATTAAAAAATCATATTGTACTTGAATTTAATGAAAGTTATAACACAAACCTTGATTTTGATATGACTTCAAAGTTAACATCTTGCAATAATAGTCATAGTTTTTTTTTGAACGATGTCTCTTTAGTGGCGATCGATTCGAGATTGACTTTGATCACCCCTAAATACTTATTACGATTCCGTCACAGAAAAGAATAGTTATTCCATAGTAAAGAACATATTTGCTGGCGATTTCGTGGTATCAAAAGAATACCGAAATCGTACCAGGAAAGAGCGGCAAAAGTACAGAGGCTATGGGGCCAAAATGGCAGTAACACTAACAGAAAACATGCGCGTACAGAGTGTGATAGACAGAAATTACAATAAAACAATTGTTAGTAAGATTGGTTATAATCATGAATATTTCTATTGAACGGATTGCGTCCTCTTAATAAATGTAGATCACTACATCTTTCTTATAGGAGTCTAAGTATGCTCATGAATGCTATTATTCCAAAAAGTGTGCGACGAATGACGTCTGAATGGTACTGAGTTGATAGATTGCTTAAAATTCTGTTTAGATCAGGAATATACTTAGTTGACCATATGCAAAATGATACATAGGCCATATGTAAAGGATTAATTACTAGCTGTTTAGTCCAAGATCATGTGGAGTTAAAATTAACTGGCTATATCCTAACAAAACTTGAGAAACTATGAAAAGTGATTACATAATCTGAGCTAATTTTTTATCAGATTTTTAAACATGAATCCTTGCCAAAATTTTCCGATTTAATGAAAATAATCTAGCTATTACATATTTGCTTTTGCCTGTAACCCCCAATGGAGCATAGGCCTCCAGCGTAGGCCTCATCCTACTCTGTCCTGGGAATCCTTTTCTAGTTCTGTCAGTTGTTGTTCCTTTCTCTCATGTCTGTCTCCGATTATCCATGTGTTCCTTGGCCTTCCTCTTTTCCTCTTACTTTGAGGTTTCCAAGCCAGGGTCTGTCTTGCGACGCAGTTGGGTGTTTTCAGTAACGTTTGTTCTAGCCACTTCTAGCTCTTCTTTATGATTTTTTCATACGCTGGAATTTGGTTTTTTCTTTCCAACAGTAGGTTGATGCTAATAGAGTCTGGAGAACAGATCTGAAGTATTTTGAGTAGACGACTGTTAATAAATACTTGTATCTTCTGAATGCTGCTACAAATTTATCTCGCTTTTCGAGTTGTATTAGAAAATATATATTCACAACTCATTATCTGTGTAAAATATATTGACTGATAACCAAATCATGTAGCCACATTTACCTTATATATTAAGGATGAGTTTATATTACTTTAGTCGTAGTTATACCTACTGTAATCATAACTTTGTTCCAGTTTGCAACCCATTGCAAAATGCAAAAAAAGATTCCATAATAAACAAAACTCAGGAAGAAGATAATAATTTTGCGGTGAGTTCACTTTTTCTTGTATAATTTTTCATTCTTTCTTATCATGGTAGATAACTTTCACCATAAGAACAGTCGCTAGATGAGGATCAGTCGGATGCAACGTAGAACTTCGTACGTAAGTACATCAGTTCAGGTCGCCATACCACATCAACACAGAGATATAATTGTCAATTCAAATCCAATAGTAGAAGAGGTAGTAAAGGTATTAGAAGTAATCGGAGAGGTTAGGATTAGAAGATATTATTCATGAAGTATGATTAAATGAGATAAGTTTAGAAAGTAAAAACTAAAGGTGTTGAAGAATCCAGAAGATTAGGATTTGAGAGAACACAAAGAATAAATGCACCTCCGCCATTGCGAACGATTTTGAGCCATGTCATTCAAGGTCTCTAGCCATCGATTATTATCATCTCGCGGACCCCAACCAGGTAGTCGACAATTACCGACATGGCTCAGTCCACTAGTCAATGACTTCATGGATTTCTGCCATGTTTTGGTCTGGCCGCCCCTAGCTTTCTTCCAACCTATTCCTACACTACAAAACAAAGCTCGACGGGTGAGTCGCTGGTTAGGCATACGCAACACATGTCCCAACCACCTAAACTGATGAAGTTTCACCACTTCATCGATTGGTCTGCCATTCTTACCTAGTACCCGTTTCCTAATAACAGCGTTGCTCACTCGGTTGTCAGATGAGGATCAAACTAGAGTGGTTTTATGATGGTAGAAATGCAAAGCAATAACCAAGATATTTCATATGCCAAGGCTTATATGTAGTCAAATTAGACCAGTTTACTTAAAAAAAATAGTAATGCACTACTTGTACTTTATCGGAAGGTAACCAATCCACATAGTAGTAGTCTTGCAGCTGTTAATAGACGCGTATTTGCTATAAAATATTTGTATTACTACTTTTTAAGGCCTAGACAACATGCCGCAGTTTTTTATTTTACTGAAATTCACTTTTTATGATTTTAAGAATTTTTAATCTGGACTTCTAGAAGTTGTCTCTAATTTTCTCCTTTTTTTCTATACATCATTTACAAAATGTTTTGAATATAGTTACTGCTAGAGATGGAAATGAAACTAATAAGTGTTCGTTTAATAGAAAACAAATTTAATTTAATTTAAATGAAAAGATGGTTGTGATTTTTATTACACGGTACAACACGTAACTCAATATAGCTTAACCGGGTAAACAATCGTTCTACGGGATATGATTATCAAATTGGCTCATTCAAATAATTATATTCAGAAGTTTTTCATACATTCAATTTTTCAACAGAAGACTTGTTTTTAAAGACTGTATTAGATATCATCCACAGTTTATTAGTCAATACAAAATCAGTTGAAACTGAAACAGATCATGGGTTATGTTGTCAAGATCAAGGAAATTATATGAATAGTTGTATATGACTTCTAATTATTACACAAGGACCTCTTATCTAACTTCTGTGTTGAATGTCATCTTCAGATTAGTAAAATTATGGTCACGAGAAATACTCCAGCACTACAGTCTCCAGTTGCACCTGGAACAATAAGTGAAATTTAATCTTTCCACTCATTAATTCTCAAGTATTATATATTCCACTCAGATCAAATAGTACACACAATTATCTGCAGTTTGATACAAAATACTTTTGTTGTTAGTATATTATTTTGTGTTATCTTTATTTCTTCGCTTTTTTTCAGGCCAGTTTTTTAGGAAGCCCAATCATAGATCAGTCATTAGTTGATCTTGCATTAAAAACTCCAAAATGTATATCAGTGTCTCGGGTGCTGGTTTTATACACTGGGGGTACCATTGGAATGAAATGTGTAAATGGTGCTTATCGTTCAGTGGAGAATTTTTTTCTGCCTACCTTAAATCAGATGCCTACCTTTTGCGATCCAGAGTAAGAAAATTGTTTGTTTTTTTTCGAGACAAAACTTGTTTTAGTATAGTTTTTATTGTGCTAAATTTATACTTTGAATGATTATTAAAGCAAAGTAACTATGTTTCAACTGCAGACTTATCAGTCAAAAATATATTTTTTGTAAGGCAGTTATTTCTGCAGTTATCTCGCAAATTATGTATAAAAAGACAAAAAACCACCGTGCCTAATATCACATAGATAATATTAGATAATTCATTTAGAAGTAAAACCACCGAAACGATGTTATTTCAAATATGGTTAGTGTACATTTTAAACTAGTTCACTTGTTCGATTTATGAAGTTATATTGTGCACAAAGTTTTACACAAACTAGAATCCTAACATGGAACGAAAGTTATCTCTGTTTAACAAATTAATAGTATGGAAATATTATCTTAAGATAGTTGTTACTATATAAATGGATAGCATGTGCCACAACTTTTAGGATAACAATTGAGAGCTTACATTATCCCTAAAATTCCTAATACTAACCGAAATGCTGGTCGATTGTTCAGGGAACCCTAATCAAAATACATTATATTAGAGGATATTTTATATAATTTTGGATACTGTTTTAATAATTAACTGTTTTAAACAAAAGTCTAGTAAGTCATAAACATAAAAAGATATATCATATACTTGCAAATAATCGGATTCTGTACTAATATCGCGACTGAAGTTGGCAACTGTATCAAAGTAACTAAACTATGAAGCTTTGGAGCTTAAAATCTACGGAAGAACATAACAACAACAACAGGTTTGGTGTTTCTGATATAGTAAGTAACCAGAAAATATGGATGGTTGATTTGATTCTCCATAATTCTGGACGGTAAATCCATTAGTCTGAAACCAGTTTTATTATCTTTTGAATATCACTCCTACGGAATATAAACTTTGAACTCTCACATCTCGATTCTACACATAATTTAAATATCTTCTAACCACTATCTAACTGTCATATCAGGTGATAAAATGAAGGTGATATTGGTTAATTTATTTTGACAGCATGCAGGTTAGTTGACAAACGAATCAATATTATGTCTAAATACAGTTAAAAGGTTAAGTGAGCAATGTTATATTTTAAGGATTAATAATAAACAGTCTGTCCAATAATCTGAACTCAATAATATATACTTTCAGCTTAGTTTTCTTAGTTATTTTTTAAATCATCAATCTTCTCAGTAAATAATAGAATGAACATGGAAAGGCTTTTTTGGAAATGAAAAGTTTTTCCAGCTTCATCATACTAAATTATTTGTTCATCTATGTTATATTTAATATGAATATGTGTTAGAATGTAGAATTATTGAAATGTTTATAGACTCTTTATTGTTAAGAAAATATCTGTCATCTGTCTAAACGGTATATTACGAATTATTTCAGTCGACTGATCAATGAATATAAGAATGTAGGTAATTTTTTTTGGGTGTACTTGCATAATCTGTCATTTATCAGTCATTAACTTCAAATACTTCTATCATATTGAGTAATAAAAACGATTCTTTATGAATTAAATATCTGAGATATATTTTCCAACCAAAATTCTTTATGTCAACTGTTTACATGCAATATAAATATAAATATTCCTAATCAAGTATCATTATTTAGTTCAGGAAATCAGCATATTCATTTTGTTTTATTCATGTTAGCAGTTGATCTTTAATCATAATTTTAATTCTCTTTGACTAGCTAAATTGTATGATTAGTGATATAAGTTCTTGTAAACTTAAAGCAATCTGTTGTAAAAAATTCAGTCATTATAAACTAATTACATCTATAGAATATCATTGAAACAATGAACTATATAAATGAAGAATATGATTTACTATATTTGACCTATTGATTGTCTTATGCAATGATCGATATCATCATGATTATCTAAAAAGGAACCACTTTAAAGTGAACTTGATATGACTGAAAGTTAAACAATAACAAATTTCAATCAAACATAATGTTAATAACAGTTCCAGTATAAAATATTTTCAGCAATTTCAGAATATGTTTTTTTTTTTTAGGATTTAGATTTTGGCCACATTTAAAGTTGCTTCTTATTGTGTGCGCAGATATCAGTCGTTTTATGTTGAGTTTTTTTTATTATTTCAAGAAAATACCAACCAATGTATTTTAATTTAAGTGAAACTTCAAGTGTACTTGTTATACATATCAAATCATGTAAATTAGTTGACTTGAAGATTTCATTGTTTTACCATAGAGAGAGCAATATATTATAAATTTTATCTTATTACACTCTTAACTTTCTCTTATTATCATTATAGTTGTTATTTAATTTTTTTATTGTTTAGTTTTCAAATTCATATTAATCAATTCAATATTGAACATTTACATCGAAAATTATCAAAATCTACCATTACTTCATCTTATTCACCACATACAAAATTTTCAAAACGTGAATCTAGTATAACTGTATCAGATCATATACAAACATATGCTTTACCAATTGATAATACAGGACATCGTATTTTATATACCATTGTTGAATATTGGCCATTATTAGATTCATCTGATTTAAGTATGAATGAATGGAAACGTATAGCAAAAGATATTTATGCATTTTATAATGAATTCGATGGATTTGTTATATTACATGGTACAGATACACTTGCTTATACAGCATCAGCATTATCATTTATGTTAGAGAATTTAAGTAAACCAGTCATTATAACTGGTGCACAATTGCCTGTTTTTGAATTTCGTAGTGATGGATGGAATAATTTTATTGGTGCATTAATGATTGCTGGTGGTAAATATGCAATTAGTGAAGTGACTGTATTATTTCATTCTAAAGTAAGTTGATATTTATTTTCAAAACGGAAAATGCTACAATATTCATTATTACAAAACAAACAAATTCGAAATCATGCATCGATCAGAGTGTTAGACTACCATTAGAAATCGGAAAGCACTAGACTGCCGTTTTATCCTGAAATGGGACTCATCAACAGTGCACATCTAAGACTTCTGCACTTCGCTGGATTCGAACCAAAGACTGTCGGTCTTGCGTTTGAATACCTAACCTATGTACCACTGACCGCCGATATCTAACAGTCTTAATGTCTAACTTCGATCAATTCTCGGATTTGCGCATCCTTATACACTCACTGTCTTTGGTAGTTACTGTCTATACCAAAACAGGGTTGAACTTCACTGGTCACGATTTTTCACTAGAACTGGGAGAAGATTCCTCACGAAGCTAGTTACTAGTGAGCACAGGTAACTGATCGAAGTTATACATTAACACCGTTAGATATCGGCTTAGTGGTCCAGAGGTTAGGCGTTCGCGTGCAAGACCGAAGATCTTGGGTTAGGATCCTGCGAGGTTCAGCAGTCTTGGATGCGCAATGCCGATGAGTTCCATACCAGGACAAAACAGCCATCCAGTGCTTCCAGGTTCCTAATAGTGGTCTAACGTTGATCTATTCATGATTTCAATGAGTGACTTAACATTCTCCACAACCTCATAATGCAATATATTTATTTGTATTCAACAAACTGATGGAAACATAACAATCCTCTATGGTTAATCATCTAGCTGATATTAAATTATTATTCACCTATTGTGTCATGATCATGATTAGTAATTGTCACAACAATTATCTTGTGATGTAAATTATGAAACCTTATGTTTAACAACAGTATTGTTGTATATTTAAAAATATAATTATTATTATCCATATGTTTGTAAGAATATATGCTGAAAAACAATGATACTGTTATTAATAAAAAATACAACCATGTTTTAAGAAAATCACTAACCTCTTGAATTTTTTTTGAAAAAGGAAATAACTAAAATGTGTGCGTTAATATATATTTGTCAGTATTTCAGCGAGTAAATATTCATTATTGATTTGATCAATATTTCTTGTCATCTCGACGTTCGGATTAAATATTTCCACACTTTTATGAGCATACAAATTGTTTCTATAATAGTTAGCTACGAAATCTTGAATATGTGTTTCAAAATAAATATTATTCTGATTGAAAAAGATGTTAACTGTCTTAATTAAGTAACCTAATGGATAGAACTTTAGTATTTGATGAAATCATCATCAAATTCCAGTTTCATTGTGAACATCAACACCCATGTAGATCTAACAGACAATTCGCAAATAGGTTGAAAAACGATTTGCGGTCTCCATTACTGATTACTATCTAAAACCTAGTCATATAACTTCCAGCTTCAATACATACGATATTTTAAAAAAAAAACTGATAACATTTAGAATTTCAGATCGTTTCGATAAGATAAAACTACAAGCCAGTATATAGAACAATAAACTAAATAAAGAACTTGAAAGATAATCTTACTAACGCATGATAGTAGTATTATTGTCATACACTTTAGACCGATAGGTTGAATGTAACATGTAAAACAGTGGATAGTCTGGTGGCAAACAGGATTGCTCTTTACCTTTACAAAACTAAAAATTAGTAGTATACAAATCGGAAAATCGTCAACAGCACCAGCCATAAAATTGACAATGTTAAGATTTTTCGTATAAGTTACAGCTAAGTGTAGTTTAGTAACGGTTATGAATTTATAAGATAATCTAAGGAAATCTTCTCTATCTTATTAGGAAGAGCACTGTAAATTGGATTAGATTTTCCAACTACATGAAAAAGCGAGAGTTCGCTAACTCTGATAGCTTATAAACACTAACAGTTGATAGCCGTGTGCAAATGTACTAGTTTCCAAAAACCGAGTCAGAAAACCAGAAAAGTTGCAATGTACATTGTATGTTTTCAACACAAACTAAATGAAATTATGTATTTTAACATACCATGAAACAAAATGTCAGAAACGGTGCTTATAACATATAGATAATTGGAAAATGTTTCACATAAAACTGACTAATCAATTCATTGCTTAACTAATCGTCATTAGTGAGTAGTAAGCAACCATCCATCATTCATCAGTCAATCATTGAAAATATAGCTTACAATCAGAGTTATATTATTTCTACAAATTCTATCTAAAAAAATCAAGTTTTTAATCAATAACACAAAGAAAACACTCATTGACCGACTAAATATATATATATATATTTTTTTTCTAATTTCATAATTTCCATTCGTCACTTTTAAAAGTAAACTAATTGCTTTTTGCTGTTATTGTTGAAATTTATTGGGTTCCGTGAATTTCTGTATATGTATTGTGTGATATTGATTGCATAGAATGAAACAACTATTCCAAATTATGTAATTGAGAAAATTTCATTCGTGAATGAAGTCCTAAATTTATAACATTCATTGAAAAAAAAAATTTCATAAATAATTCATGAAATCGATTATTAATTAATTTGATCATAACTGTTGTAATGCTGATACGTAGCTATTCGGTCCTACCGATGTCCGAATTCAAATATTCCAATACGACCTAAATACTATTCCCGAATCTGTTACATATCAGAACACAACACCGTTTGACGAAGTTGTTTAGTGTTTTGAGTACAGTATTTATACATTTAGGTCGAATAGGAAAGTATCGAAGTCTGTGACATTGACAGTTAAGACGACCAATAGGAACCAACATTTGAAATGACATTGACAGTTAGGACGACCAATAAGAAACAACATTGGGATACGTGACATTGATGTCTAGGACGACCATAAAATTAACCAATAGGAATTGACCAATAATTCTCTTAAGATATTGGATGAATATCCTAACAATAACCATATATATTTTTTCTCTTTAAAAAAAAAATCTAGTTATTTCGTGGTTCTCGAGTAGTAAAATGTTCCAGTAATAATTTCGATGCATTTGAATCACCAAATTATCCAGCTATTGCAGAATTAGGCACAGAAATTGTAGTGAATTATAATTTAATATTTCGTCCAACTGGATTACCGAAACCATTTTCTATTCATACAAATTTATGTCAAGATGTTGCAATATTGAATATGTTTCCATTAATATCGAAAGAACACATTGTTTCCATGTTAGCACCTCCTATTAAAGGTATGTTGATGTTGTGTGTGTGTGTGTTTGTGTTTTTTTAAAGTTTTATTTATTTTTTTCAGAAAAAGGACATCATTTTATTGTTAATTAAAAAATCATTATTTTTTTTATTTAATTTGAAAATATACTCCAGTAGAATTTTATTTAAACAATAACTTAATTGAAACAAGTTTCATTTTAATATTCAATAAAAATAGGAACAAATTGTTAAAATCAATCAATCAATCAGAGAATTTGCAAAGGATAGTTTCAGAGATTGTAAAATGTAAAGTAGAAACTGTATGTTTATATATATCTACGAACAATTCTTTACTTGAATATAGTTGATTATATATTTAAGCAATATAACATGCTCTTATATGTATCAATTTGTACATATATATATATATATATATAATAATGTTTTGTACTGAATATTCTTTTTACTACTACATTCGTGTAGATAAAAGTAATGTTTTCCTAAGCATATATTATGTCATTCTAATAATTTTATGATTATTCTTTACTGTACTAGTGAAATACGAAAATTTGACACTTCTTGATAGGATTAGACGTAATATTATGTGATGATAACCATTAAGTCCACCAAACTGAATAGGACGAAACGCATATCCTAGATTACGCAGAAAGCCACTATTCATCTCTACTTATGATGCGTGTGACCTAATGGCTAGATCTAGGCAATCTAAACAGGATGCACATACACCAAATGAGACTGATCATTTGTAGTGCTATCAGTAACAAGATTCAAACCAACAAGACAAGTGTATTCAGTAAAATTCATGAACCGAAAACGTTAAATAACATAACAACTATGACTAATATTAAATCTAGTGATTGAATATCTTTGACTGTAAATTAAGAATTTTTTGTGAGCCTTACTTACTTACCCTTGTTACCCCCAATGGAGCATAGGACGCCCACCAGTTCCCTCCAACCAACTCTGTC